AGAGAGAGAGAGAGAGAGAGAGAGAGGGAGGGAGAGAGAAAGAGAGAGAAAGAGAGAGAGAAAGAGACAGAGAGAGAAAGAAAGAGAGAGCGAGAGAGAAAGAGAAAGAGAGAGGACTGGGGTGGGAGAAACAAGCATGAACATTGTGTATTCAAAGGATACATTTCGTGTAGGAAGTCTATGGGGCCTGGCTGGAGTATATCCTGCGCTGAGAGCACCTGGGAACACGAAACAAGGAGGCAAAAAATAATAACAATAATGATAGTAATACTTACTTACTTTTATGAATAAGAATAAGAATAAGATGGATATAGCACATGCCGACGCCGCTCCATAGCAAGGTCTAGGGGCTTTACACCTATCCTCCTTTTATTTGTGTAATATATATGTCAAGTGTTTTTTACGGCTCTCGCAACACAAATAGGTGTTGCGAGGGCGGAAAAAACACTTGATCAATAAAACTAAAAACAGCAAACAGGGACAACAGCATCAACAACAACAACAGAAACAATAGCAACAACAACAAGAACAACAGCAACAGCAACAAGAACACTCACGTTCTCGTGGTGGAAGTGGCAGAGCATGCGGAGCTCCCGGTACACCCGTAGGGCAGACACCACGTTCTGGAACACGTTCGACATCTTCTTCAGGGCCACGCGCTTCCCGTCTCGGGGGTCCGTCACCGCCCTGCGAACACACACAGACACACAAAATTATCAATCAATTAATCGAGCAATCAATCAATCGAGCAATTAATCAACAATCATAAAAGTTTAATTATTCAATTAATCAATCGTTTCATTATCCAATCAATCAGTCATTTTATTATTATTATTCAATCAATCAAAATCTAATTATTCAATCAATCAATCAAACTTTTTTGTTTCCATCACCACACAAAGAACCGACCAATTAGTCATTCAGTCAAAGAGTCATTAATTCGACCAATCAATCAATCAATCAATCAATCAATCAATCAATCAATCGATCGATCGATCGATTGATCAAGAGATCAAAGTTCACTGGTCAATAACTCCTCTAGAATGCCATGTTTCATGAAGCCCCTGTCAATACAATTTAGTACCTATGCACTCGGGAATCGAACTCGCGTCTTCTTAAGCAAAGAGCCTTAACCACTGCACACCATGCGCCAGTATAGATAAAAAATCATGGAAATAATTCATTTAAGGGAGGAAGGTGCGAATGGGAATGGCGGGGACGGGTTTATAATAAATCAACCATGTAAATAAGGAAATAAATCATTGTAGGGTGTAGGTTGCGAATGGGGATTTCGGTGG